GGATGGCATGATCATCACCTTCTAACAGAACAAGTTCTTCAAGGGTTTGACTCTCTTTTCTATTCTGATAAACCTCAAGAGGTTCAATTCGTTTTTTAAGCAAGGGACATGATTTCTCTTCAAACCTTTCTTCCATGCCACGTTTCATGTAGGAAAATGCTTTCTCGATATCATGAACATCAGGTGAATTAGCAACAGTGGCACCGAGAAGCTCGAGTCCTTCGATTCTCTGTTCCTTTGTACATTCTGGCCTGTTTATAAAATACTCCACCATGTCAATCTGACAATTATTACTCGCTAACAGAAGTGGAGTTAAACGTTGAATATTTGGCAATTGGGACGCTCCACGAACTACTAATTCTTTAGCAATCGCAAAGTGACCATTGTAAAGAGCCTCGTGCAGTGCTGTATTTCCTTTCTTGTCTTGAAGATCCATATTTGCGCCACGTTCGATAAGGTAGGTTACAACCTTCAGGTGGTCATTGTAAGCAGCTGCCCTCAATGGAGTCGAGTTTGTCAAAGTTCCTCCGTCGACGTCAGCGTTTTGTTCGATTAAAAGTTTAACAACATCAAGATGTCCAGTGGCAGCGGCAGCCCACAAAGCTGTACAACCCTCAATAACTTGGTCGGCAACTTTCACAGTTCCCCGAGCTTCGATGTCTGCTTTGTATCTTAGAAGCATCTTGACAGAATCCAGGTTTCCATTGCGAGCGGCGATGATTAAGGGAGTGGTGATTTGATCGCCATCTTTTGCTTTCGTTTCTAAAGCGGTGCTTCTTTCACTGATGCTCATTCCCTGAAGAACATCACTAAGTACAACAACCGCACCATCCCGAGCAGCTTCGTACAATATAGCCACAGGATTAGTGTATTTACTTTTTGATCGTTTTTCATTCATAGCACACAGCAGCTTTGTGAAGAACTGAGCTATGCTTAAATTTCGTTTTTTTATGAATAATGCTCACTTAGTCGATTGTTTAAGAAACAGCTACAGATGACTGCGTGGTTCATAACTTTCTCAAATTTGAAATGTAAATTCTTAACAAATTGAGTTGCATTTATTAAAGTATAGAACAGTTCACATCTGTTTTTCAAAATATTGCCGCTAGCTCCTTTATGTGCGTCAGCTGCAAGACCTTCTGACTAGTCGATAGAGTGTGAATTATAAGATGTAGAAAAAGGAAATTTTATTTATAGGGGTCATAATCTTAGCTAGTTTACAGGCAAGATGCTCTGATTTTGTAGTTGCAAAATCTACTTCAGACTACAAAGCCCTTGTTACATTAAATCTAAACAATCAGCTGTCTGACAGGTTACGAATAATACCTTCCGGCACTTTTGAATTTCCACTTCACTCCTTTGTTGGATTAGGGTTACTTCGGGTGATTGAACAACGCCGCTAACATTTTTTTTTTTTTCAAGTAAACTGTTATTTGCATACAACACAGCCAGCTACATAACTTACACTACTAATACTTACACAACTAACATTACAATACATCTACGTATACAGCTTAAAATACACACACAGCTACTTTACATCACTTGCAATACCTATAAGATATTTTACAAGTTGTTTTCGATCAGTACACTTCAATGCTCATACAGCTACTGTACACTATTACGATATTGAATACCTAGCATTTTTTAACCTTCGATACATTGGATGTTATTATTAACGGAACAATAATATATAGAAGAGAAACAAATTAAAACTAACAAAACGTAAATAAAAATGAAAGACGAAGTAGAAAAAATAGAAGTGGCACATCCTCCGAGACAAAGATATTTGGGGCAGTTCATACACATAGTACAGTGTTGTCCATTTTGCTCTGAATTTCGTCAGTGTATTATTTTTAAAAGCAATTGTAAGTTCACAAAGGATCTTTTCATTGAGTAACAAGCTGAAAATTTTAAAGCTTGGAGAGGCTTTGTTTAACCGCAAAAGGAAGATGTGGTATTTTGTAATAACAACAAAATGGTTAAGGGCTTGAAAAAGATTTGATTCTCGTTTATAACCATATAAAATATCGATCTGTAGCATTTAAAGCGATAGTTTCCGATCGCCTTTTGTTCCAACAAGCAATTACCATTTGCCAAATCGTTTGAGTTCTGGGGCATTCATATTGGAGGTCAAGTAAATTATAAAATTTTCCTAGGGGTGGCTACAACGATCACAGCTTGAAGATGTTTTCAACTTCATTTTGTAAAGGTTTTTTTGTTTTTTACTATTGCATACAATACTAACATTACCTACAATACTTACATTACTTACAATACTAATATCACTTACGCCACTACTGACA